AAAATCGTCTTCAATACTCTCGAAAGAGATGAAGAAAGTGTAGAAATTATTTTTTATGTTGATTTTAGGGATTTTGTATTTGATGAGGTCCACAAGAACGTTTTCTTTCAGTCACCCATCCTATTCCTATCCCCAGTTTGTGAAGAAGAGGTTATTTCTTTCTTTAGACTTGTAGCTCGCCCTTGTTTTTGTTTCATAGCAATTAGTAAGTGAAGCAATTAGACCCGGTTCGTAATTAGATCTTGTAATAGGGCTCGTAATTAGATCTTGTGATAGAGTTGTAAACGAGTCGAAAATAGAGTTTAACCGCTATGTTTGGGATGGATTGGTTGTGGTTTTTCTACGCTTCGAACACCAGAATATAGAACCACGAACGAAGAAAGATATAAGAAAAATTTTGTGTTGGTTAGTGATTGTGAGGTCAATTCTTGACTAGAAAGAACTTGAGCTCGAGCTTCTCATACTTAAACTCAAACTCCAACCTTTAACGAGCTAATCGAGCTAATGAACAAGCTCTAGCTAGATTTACTTATCAGAATTAATGAGCGGTCTTTTCGAGCCTAAGGCTGCATACGAATCGAGCAGGTCAAGCATGAACTTTATGGAGCGTAGATCAAACTTTTTTCTTCAGTGCTCGAGCTCAGCGAGCCATGTTAAATGGTACTCAAATCGACTTGTAAAAAAACAAGAATGCTCGAGATTGACTCGATGTTCGATGTGGCTCGAGTTCGACTCAAAATTTTAACAACTAAACTTTAAATATAAGAGTATTGTTTTTAATCTAAATAGACAATTCCGGTCTTGGTGTTCTAATATTGATAATTAAACTACATGGGGTATTTATGTGAATAAAAAGTGGAGCAGCTAGTCGAGCTTATGAGCCTCTTACAATAATACTCGAGGCTCGACTCGTTTACTTGATTGAACTGCTCAAGCTCGAGTTTGACCAAGCTCGAGTCGAGTATTGACTCGAGCGCTCGTGACAGCTCGTGAGCCGCTCGATTTGTTTTCAACCTTACTCGAGCCAAATTCAAGTATAATTCTATAAATTAAGTAAAATGCATGTTTATTGAGCCTAACAAAGCTTATCAAGTTGATCTCAAGCTTGTTACCTAAACAATATATTAAACAAGTCTTTTGAAGACGAACCACCCTTTTGAAACTCGAACCTCTCTGGTGGATCGACTCGAGACCGTTTTGAGTTCGGATGCGTTGTTCGGACCGAGTAGCAAGGGACCAGATCAAAAAACCAATCAACCCTGTCGACCCGGAGATTGACTCGACTGGGTCAACTCGATTTAATTCAGTCACTAATTTTTATTTTTTTTTTATCTTTTTGTTTTTAAAAATAAAATTATGTACATATATATGTATGGATAAATATTTATGGCAAACTATAATATTATTAAGACTTTAAGGTACAAAAATTATATATAAATAATTTATTTTATCATTCTATTTATGGTTATAAGATAAAAACAATATACATGCAATTTAAAACTTTATAAAATATAATTTTTTGGTTCAACAATTAACCCGCTGACTCAATGTCCATCCCGGGTTAATCACAGATCCTTTTAAAACTATGATAAAGAGTATGATAAAGAGTGTTAAGATTTAAATAGATGATATTGAGGAGGGTTAAGTTTGAGTAGATAAATATGGATTTTGATTTAAAAATTTGTATCCAATCATAGTTCCATAAAAAAAAAATTGTCCAACAACCAACCAATAACAAGTTGTTATCTAAATCAACGAGTCAAACTCAATTATTCACAATCAGAGATAAACCACTTATTTACCAAGCTTAAAGAGTCTACATAAGCCGAGTTCAAGCTTGTTGATTATTCAATCAGCAAAGACTAACCGAACCCATCCTATCCACTCCACAAGCGGCTTTAGTCGTAATCCAACTCAATTTAACCTTGCGACCCAATAACGTATTTGAACAGTGTAAGGCTGGTAAAAAGTGGGCAAGCATGTGAACACTAGGCCCAATAGAAAGTCCGATTGGGCAAAATAGCCATCAGTTAATAGGCCCAAAATCAGCCTACGGTTTCCAAACTGTATTTGAATGTTGAGAAATTTACTCCCTTTACAATTCATTGTCTAAATAATATCACGATTACGATCTCCCAAAATTTTCATCAAAATTACGTTTTTAATAATTAAAATATTATTAATAGGTCAGACGGTTATATATGGCCTAATTAACCATCAAGTGGGATTAATTATATTTTTTGAAACGTGAGAAGAGGTCTCCCTCAAGCAGACGACATAATCACGTTATCTTCTTCCTCAAGAAGCAGTCCAACGCACGTCTTTCTCTCTCCTTCATATACTCAGGCCGAAGGATTTTTTTTCTCCCTCGTTCATCTTTTTCTCGCGCAAAAATTTTCTCCTTTCTCTGTTCTTAATTTTCACCATTGAGCAGCGTATAAAAAAAAAAAAAAAAAAAAAATCGGTCACTCCTAGTAGACCCGCCGCGATCTGTCCGCCGTTCAACATCTCGCCCTCGCAAAGCAGCTCCTATCCGCCGCTTTCACATGCGTCCTCGCAACAAACCCTTGTCGAGGAAACCTCAGACCCGAACCCCTCCGATCAGCCATATACGAGAGCTTCAAGGCCACGCGCTTCCACCGCCGAGATCCCCCATTGACAAGCGCGTTTCGCCCTTGCTTCCACCAATCGAAGTTTCACGCATTTCAGATGGTCATAAAGACACCATAAAGAAAAGGAATATTGCGAACAAGGGTAAAAGCAAGATGCTTGAATCTTCATCGAGAAGTCTTCTTTGATGAAGACGAAGCAGACAATCAGTTGGCGGCGGACTTCTCTACTGGTGAAGATGATGTGATGTAAAGTAGACATATGTTGTTTACCTTATGTATAATTACATTCGTTTTGGATTTTGCAGTCATTTAGAATTATTTAGAATTATGTATTATGTTGTATTATGTTTTATCTCGTTTCAATGTTGTTATATATGTTGTTTATCTTTTGTATAACTATACGGTTAATATTAGAGAACTCTCATATCATGTTTATCTAATGTATATATACAGTATATCTAAACATATGAGATTTATGAATTATGTTTTATCTCGTTTCAGTGTTGTTTATATGTTGTTTATCTTTTGTATAACTATACGGTTAATATTAGAGAACTGTCAGATCATGTTTATCTAATGTATATATGCAGTATATTTTAACATATGAGATTTCGTGAGGAACAATTTGTTCTTTTTCATGTTTATCTAATGTATATATACAGTATATCTTAACATATGAGATTTCGTGACGAACAATTTGTTCTTTTCCATTCTTGATCTGAGCTTTATTTTTTTTAGTATGATGAACGATTTTTTTAGTATTCGTTCAACCCAGATCGTAGCTATCATATTGCTAAGAATTTTTATTTTTATTTTTTTGAAATTCCATCTTCATTCCCGTTCGTTCAGCTTAATTGATTGAACTTTATGTGCAGAGAGAATCATGACCTTTATTTGGAAAGAGAATCAACATGCCATTATTTGGAGAGAGAGTAAAGTTATATGGAGAGAGAAAGAAATCTCGTCTATGTGAAAATAAAGTGTCCATCAAATTCTTAATTGATAAAAAAATGTACAATTCGTAAATATGTAAATGAGTCTTATAGTCAGTACAGGTGTGTAAAATTCCCTTGGATGTTAATATGTTTAAGCAGGCTGGCCCAATTTTTCGGGTTATCAAACACGAACTCGATCGAACGATGTGTCTGCCCAGTCGTCACTCGTCAAGCAGGGCCAAGTCATCAAAGTCTGAAAAATCACATAGCATAAATAATCAAGTCATCAAAGTTGCAATTAATCTAAAATCACATAGCATAAATAAAAATTTCCCAATCTTTTACTACTAACTTATGGAAAATTGGATCATATCAATCAATTTTATTATTATTGAATTAAACACAGTTAAATATAAGTATGCAATTGCGTGATCCAATAGTTAAAATATAAAATTGCATAAGTGGACGATTGTAATTGTTGAACTATGCTTGTTTGAAGTTCATTTGAATAATTTGTTCAAATGAACCCTATTTCAGTTGGAATATATATACATTATGTAATATAGCATTATTTTATTCTTGATTAAAATTACAAATGCAAATTCTTGATATTTCATTTGATACAAGTCAAAAGTGTCACCCTCTTGAAGGTGCATTTTGTAAGACAGATAAATCGCTATAAATAAATACATAATAAAAAGCTAGCTTGGGCTTAGTTTGTAACACAGTCAAAATGTACCAATATATTCAGTTCTTATTTAATGATTAGATAGTTACGTGATTTTGAGCCTTGAATGCGAATTATTGGGCACACCTTTATTCACTTTATTACCAACTTGCCTACTTAATTAGTAGAGTAGTTATAATATGCCAATGAAAATACAAATAATTCAATAAGTTTTGTGCTTGTTCTTCTAGAATGGTGACGTCAATTGCCATGCTCAGAGTATNTATGACGAAATTCTGAATCAAACTTATCTATTAAACTTTGATTTCTAGCTATGAAATTGTGCAAATATCATCTCTTATATTTTACTTTTGAACTTATCTTACATTGGATTTGAATCAAAGTTAGTTTTATTGAATCTGTATCAGTAAATTTCAAATGTTGATGGATTTAAAGGTTCGAATCAAAGTTAGTTATATTGATGACTTGTCCTTTTCATTCACTCGTCCAAACATCTTTTGAAGAAACTCTGCACAACAACAACAACAACAACAACAACAATAATAGTAATAATAATAATGATAATAATAAATAATAATAATAGCTATCATAGTGAGGTTAGGGTTCATCTAATAATAATAATAATAATAATAATAATAATAATAATAGTAATAATGATAATAGTGAAGTTATTTAGGATTCACTAGTAATCAACCTGTGCATTTGCACAGAGA